CCTCAGGGTCATAAATTATTTCCTTTTTCCCTATTGGTTTTTTGCTTGTTTTGCAATAGGACTTTTGCATGATAATGTCATTTGACTCACTACCATAATGCTTCACCAATTTTCTTTCTTATTTAAATTTGTATCTCCTCATGAGAATAGTAAGACAATTGGTGCTAATTAGCTCAACAAAAGAAAGTGTGCAAGTGTGTCTGGTAGTAGAGGTCAATGACGCCATCATATGCAAGCAAACGTCCTATTCTTTTTGTTTTATAGCTTTTATCCAATATTCCAGAATATCGGACTGTGGTCAGAGATAAGAAAATACCACCTGCTCACACAGCCAATTAGAATGCATGATTCCTTTAATTCATCTCTTGTCAAATTGTTTTGTTGTGAACCGTTAATGTCAATCGACATCAATCCCAAAGCTTTGTATGTTTGCCCCCTGGATGACCCACAATGCCTTGTAATTCAAGATGGCCGCCGCATATGTCAAAGTTGTCCATTAGTCTTGAAAGTTTACCTACTCAGCCAGTATTTATATATATATATAGTCACATTTTAATTTTAATTTATTGTCTAAGGTATGGTGTTTATTCCTGCAGGCCAGTGCTATGTCAAAGCTGCTCCAGATGAACTGTTACTTCAGATATTCTCATTTCTTCAAGCTACTGATCTTTGTAGAGTGGCCCAAGTTTGTTCCAGATTTGCAGCTATATGCCGAGATGAATCTCTGTGGTAAGACAAATCCTCTTTCATGTACAAGAGCATAAATAATTATATTGATCTCTATTTTGGTACTGTAGAATCCCAGTTGGAGGGCCAGTAAGTTTTTTGATCTTTTCACAGTGTATAATTGACCCTCTTATCATAACTGTTTCATTAGAAACACCGACGCAGCTCGCACTAGTTTTTAGCAAGCTATCTCTTCTTATGACCATTTATTTTTTTAATTCATCAGGAAACAGCTTTACTTTAGAGTATTTGACATGGATAAGCCATTCGTAAAAACAAAAGATGGATTGATAGTTACAAAAGAACCTGAATCAGTGTCATGTTGGAAGGAGAGCTTCAAAATGCTACGCAATGTACACCATGTCTATCATGAGAAGACAACAAGTAAAATGTATAGAAAGAATAATAATAAGGTATTAGCAAAAAACCACCTTTGGACTATTCAAAGTTAGGGCATGGCTAACTCACAGATCCAACCTTGAAACAACCTCTGGGCKGATCAAAGTCAGGGCATGGCTAACTCACAGATCCAACCTTGAAACCACCTCTGGGCTGATCTATCAGGGCATGGCTAACTCACAGATTAAACCCTGAAACAACCTCAGGGCTAATCTAAGTCAGGGCACAGCTAAGTTTTAGATCCAAGGGCTGATCTATCAGGGCATGGCTAACTCACAGATTAAACCCTGAAACAACCTCAGGGCTAATCTAAGTCAGGGCACAGCTAAGTTTTAGATCCAACCCTGAATTCACCTCTGGGTAGCATGTTCTAAGTTAGCTCATGGCTAACTCAACAGATCAAGTCCTCAAACATCCTTTGTGCAGATCTAAGTCAGTTTAAGCAGTGTTATCTCTCATCAAGGGGGAAAAAAACAAGCTAGGGAGTAACCTTAGACTCTGCTTGCATGCGATGCCGATTCCTGGAATGATGTAGTGTAAAATAATGGGAAAAAAGCAATATATATCCATTATTAATAATTAATTAATTGTTGTATTATACTGATTCTGTGTGCCATTCCTTATTTTAATTTTTTTCAGCACCACCAGTCAATACAAGAAGCCATCAATTCTGCCCCTGACAAAAGCTTTATCATGGTTCATGCTGGTGTTTACCAAGAATCTTTGATCATCGGCAAACCTGTAGCGATCATTGGGGTAGCATTTGGTGATGTTAGTGCAGTGCAGATAGAGAGCTGTTTGACGACAACAGTCAGCTTTGAAATGGGTGCAAGAGAAGCACTCTTAGGACATGTTACTGTCAAGGTAAATGAGTGCAAGAATTATTAGAACACCTCCATGGTCCCAGCGTATTGTTACATTTCCAATGTAATGAATAATATTGAATCAGGATGATTATACCATGAGTTTTGGCTTGTTGCTACCTTGTTGGAAAAAAGGAAGGCAGAGGGATGGATTAGGTAATGAAGAAATCGTGGATAGTTGGGAATGAAAGAGAGATGGATGGATGGAAAAATGGATGGGAATGATGGATTGGAAAGAGAGAAAGATTTGTGTACAAATGGATGGGAGGATAGTGAATGGATAAGAAGAATGGATGGGAAGGATGAAATGGGAAGAGAGAAGGATGGATACAAATGGATGGGATGAAAAGAGGGATGGATGGATGGGAATGATGGATTGGAATTAGAGAAAGATTGGTGTACAAATCGATGGGATAGTGAATGGATAAGAAGAATGGATGGGAAGGATGAAATGCAAAGAGAGATGGATGGATGCGAATAGATGGAATGAAAAGAGGGATGGATGATGGACAAATGGATGGAAGGATGGGTGAATGAATGGATGCATGCATGGGATAAATGGAAGGATAAATATGAAGTAGGGATGGGTGGACAGATTGATGCTTTGATGGATCATTTGGGGGGAAGGTAATTTTTTCATTCAATCACTCACCAATGCACCCATTTATTCATCCATCCATTCATTYATTTATTCATTCATTTGTTATTTTGTATATTTCCATAGCACACTGTCAACCCATCATCCCAGTACAGTAAGAATGGCTGTATAGAAATCAGTGGAGAGTGCAGCCCTCTAGTATTTCACTGCAAGCTAACAAGCCTGTCGCATGGTAAGTGGCATTTTCAGTGACCTCATACACTAGTCTCAAGTGTGGGGCGGTTTGTTAGTGTGCTGTGGCCTGCTAAACAAGAGGTCCATAGTTTGATCCTCAGTGACCTCACACACTTGTTTTAAGGAGCAAGTGTGGCTTGGTTGGTTAGTGTGCTGCCTGCTAAGCAAGAGGTCCATAGTTTGATCCTCCGTGACCTCACAAAATGGTTTCTTAAAAGCAGCAACAGAGCTTGGTTAGTTGGTGTGCTGCCGGCTATGGTTTTAAATAGCCTTAAAACAGAGCACAGGTGGGGAAAATAAAGCAAATATTAACCTTCTTTTTACCTCTGTATTCCATAGCTGGAGCAACAGTATACGTTCATGGTAAGGGCACCCGGCCTGTCGTATCCAACTGCTACATTTCTGATTCAGAAAATGTAGGAATATTTGTGACCGATAACGCTCAGGTATGTTACATTCCCGTAGATATCTATCTATAAGGAAATCAAGGGAAGGGAAGTGTCAAGGGGATTTTTGCAGCGAGTTGAGGTGCGTTTTTTGCAGCGATTTTGGTCATGTTCAAGAATGATAAAGGATTAACTTAATTCCGGGCACCAATATTTCCTGGAAAAATGTCTTTTTAGAAGCCTTAGGCTCAGCTCAAACGTCGAGCTTCACATGAGCCGAACCTAATCGAAACATTAGATAATGAGAGGGTCTCCTTTGATGCCATTAGGTTCGGCTCGTGTAAAGTTCGACGTTCGATGTAAAGACAACATTTATTATATATTTCAAAATCCCTTAAAAGTCGCACCTCTAATTGCCCTATTTCACTATGACGTCACATCAAAACAATCTATTATTGTTTAAACGCAAAGGATCATGGTTGTCGGAGGGGGTCAAATCAACGCAAATTCACCGAAAATTGTTCTAAAACGCGCATCAATCCACGAAGAGAAGTAGAATAGCCAGCAAACTCTCAGAATATTTTTTAGTACATATTAACACATATTATATCTGAAAACCAGGCCATTTTAGATTAAACTGTTTCGCTAGGAGCAAATTTTGTTGAATTTTCTATTGGATCTGGCGATTCTATCCCCCACATAAACAAGCAGTGACGTCATAGTGAATTAGGTCAGTTGCCACAAAAATTGCCTTTAAGCATAGATGGAGGTTCAATTCTTGGACTTGGCATCGCACGTGATTAGAGTTCGTTGAGTATCTTTCTCAATTCGTAGAAATAGGCACTAAAGACGCGTAAAGAAAAGCATAACGCGCGTGCTTGATCACGTGCATAAGTGATCACGTGCATGAGTGATCACGCTCCTGAATGCTCACGTGTGCGTGTGTGCTCACGTGCACGCTTCGAAACATCTAATACCAATTTCTTTCTTTTAGGGATTGTACGAAGACTGTGAGATAACCAACACAAAGCTAGCAGGTGTTTGGGTTCGAAGTCACGCCAATCCCATCATGAGACGTAACCACATCCACCATGGAAGAGATGTTGGATTTTTTATCTTCGATCAAGGAATGGTCAGTATAGATAAATTTTACAGAAGTTTTAAAGACGCAATTTTTATTTCTCAATTTTGCGCAATTTTTATTGGAGAAACCCAATAAAAAAACTTTTTTTGGTGTTCCAAAACAGACAACTAAATTGATTTTTAAGAAAACAGCGTTTATTTAGTTTTCAGGAAATGTATACTTTCATATAATAATATTGAAAAGGCAGCGCGAAACGTTTTCCCGCGTAAAGGGATCTCGAAGATGTCCTGATACTGTACCACAAGAAAGCAATAGCCATGGCGGTTGCAGGCGATCTGTTTCGAAAGGTTTAGAAACTGAATAGTCCATTTCGCAGTTCCTTGCGCCATCTTGAAAGGTAGCCGTGCCTTTGCGTCGAGGCGAGACGAACGGTGAGCTTGCAATGATAGAGACTTTATTTTGACATCTTGGAGCGAATTATTCACTATTGAGCAATGGTGAATATGTCTATTCAGCTTAGGCGTAATTTTCCATTGCAGACCAGCGTCATTCCCCAGAGTATCATTTCTTTGTTTAATGGTTGCACATAAGAAGACACAGATATGGATACAACTCAAAGAATGAATCTTATTCTCGAGAGAATGACACGTGATCTGAAATGGGAAAGCATTACGCCCGAGAGAAAGAGGTTTATTTTGGATCAAAATAATAGAATGCTTAATCCACAGGGTTACTACGAGAAAAATGACGTCCACCATAACCGTATAGCAGGGTTTGAAGTACGTTCATGGGCCAATCCTACTGTTGTTGGGTGTATTATACACCATGGAATGACGGGAGGCATTTATTGTCATGATGATGTAAGTAAACGGGTACATTTCACCCCATCCCATCCCATCTATCCATCATTCATCCCATCCCATCCCATCCCATCTATCCATCATTCATCCCATCCCATCCCATCTATCCATCATTCATCCCATCCCATCCCATCTATCCATCATTCATCCNCATCCCATCCCATCTATCCATCATTCATCCCATCCCATCCCATCTATCCATCATTCATCCCATCCCATCCCATCTATCCATCATTCATCCCATCCTATCCCATCTACCCATCATTCATCCCATCCCATCCCATCTATCCATCATTCATTCCATGCAATCCCATCCATCCATTCATCCCATTTATCCTTCCATACATTCCTATTTATTAACCCATTTCCATTGATCCATTCATTCATTCATTCTTTCATTCAGACATTCATTCACTCATTCACCGAGGCTAGAATTGACCCTATTCAGTGATTATTCATTCACCATTTTCCATACATTGGTTCACTGGTCAAACACAAAGCGCTCAAGCGAGGCGTTAAGGTACATTCAAAAAGGATTATTCAAATTTGAACCTTGCAACCTCGACTGAACACTTTGTTTTTGACCAGTGAACCGATGTATGGAAAATGGGGAATTTGATCATTAATATTTGCATTCATTGTTCACGTTATCTCCAGTTTCTTTCACTCCTTTTTGCATTCATCCCTTGTATTAAGTGGAGAGGATGGATGTTTTTATCTAACACTTAACGTTCTTTTCAAGGCTCGAGGAGAATTCCTAGAGAACAAGATCCACTCAAACAAGTACGCAGGAATCTGGATCACATCACAAAGCAACCCAACAATAAAGTGAATATTTCTTCCTTTTTATGTAACTATATATTTATTTCAAGGGCGGATCCAGGGGGAGGGTCGGGGGGGTCGCGACCCCCCTGTCATTCCTGAGGTCAAATGGGCTTCTTGTGGTAAAAATGCGACTGGGATTCCTTTGCMCACAAAATTTACCCCTGAGACCCCCCTTCAAAAAAACCCTGGATCCGCCCTTGTATTTTCAAAATATATTWAAAATCCTGTACCACTTATAACATGTTTGCAGGGGGGAAGGGGCGCCGGAGGAAGAGGGAGGGGCAAAAAATAAAAAATAAAAAAGTTTATTTAAGTGTCTAGTCGTTCTAGCGATTTCGCACTAATTTGGGACACTTTTCAATCACACGCACTAACACTACATTTAATATTCTATGCACACATCGCTCAACTCGCATGTTGATTTTTACGGAGGGAGGAAACCGGAGAACCCGGAGAAAACCCTCGTAGCATAGAAGAGAACAACACATCAAACAAACTCAATTCACATGTGACGACCGCAGGGTTTTCTCTTCTATACAAAAAGGGTGTTCACAAAGCAAACATTTGCGATAAGAATTGTGGTGGCGTGTGTCGTACATTTTAGCATTAGCCTCTGGCTACGGAGAAAGCTATGGAGATCCGGAAACGACTCCCCGTATGACTAAGTAAGATAACAGTTTTGTTGTTGTATATTTTCAGGAATAATGAAATTTTTGATGGCCAACAAGGAGGTAGGGATGGTTTCGAAATTATGTTAATTTGGAAAAAGCTATAGAGTCACGTGTTGTCATAATGGCTGACAAGTGCACGAAAACGAGTTCACCCGGTCATTAGTTCACGATTCTCTACTTTCACATCCCCATAATGCCTTGCG